GTCCAACTCTTCGCCTAAAAGAAAGTATGCTATCTTTTCTCCTGAAGGTAATGCAACTAACCGCGGACATACTATCAAAAATCCCATCTAACATCGATTACGAGACGGTCCAAAGGATGATAGGCCCTAAGAAGACACCACTGGACGTAGTATTGCTCCAAGAGATACAACGATACAACGTCCTCCTGAGAAAAACTCGCAGCAGCCTAGAAGATCTCCAACTAGCCATTAGAGGTCTCGTTCTCATGTCTCCGGACCTCGAGGACGTCTTCATGTGTATCAACGAGGGCAGAGTACCAGCTGCTTGGTTGATTGCGTATCCGTCGTTGAAGCTGTTAGGCGCCTGGACGAGGGACTTGGTTAACCGTATCGAACATTTCGCCGAATGGGCTCAGACTACACACCCGCCATTGCTGTTCTGGCTGGCAGCGTACACTTTCCCAACCGGTTTCCTCACAGCGGTTCTGCAAACCTCGGCTAGGCTTTGGAACGTGTCCATCGATTCCCTGTCCTGGGAGTTCACCGTTTTTACAGTGGACGATTCGACCATAATCGAGCCACCAGTGGTAATTTGCAGAAATCGACGTTGACACGTTTGCTTTGAGAAGGAGGTTGAAAGGAAAAATCTAGGATTGTTGATTTTGGGATATTTTAACGCTTTGACTGATAAGAAAGGTTGTAGAAACACTCATTTCTTGGTTTTGGTGAAATTTATGTGGTGTACAGTTGTTGAAAAAATTTTATGATTAAATGATTATGAGGAGGTGAAAGGAAAATCCTCTTAGTTGAGGAGGAAAATATATTTTTGAAGTGTTTTTTGAGTAAAATTGTTTTTGGGAATTCTTTCAATTATTGAAGCAGTGAATACAACTGTAGTTTGTTTAAATAATGTATTAAAGGAAATTAAATACTTTTCTTTTTTGTTAATTTCCATTGGAGAAATATACGAGAGGATGTTTTGTGGAATTTTGAATGGAGATTTTGTAGGGATAGTGTATTAACAAAATTACCTTTTTGTTTGGTATTTTACATTTTATATCTGTGACGAGAATCATGCGTAAATCGTCTATAGGGGCTGATAGCGCAACGGCGAACGTTTTCATACTGCCTATAGGGGTTGATAACGGTGAAAAGATCAAAAGGAAATTTCGTGAAACCAATTTTCTATCCAACTTAATTGAAATTTTACGAGGTATCGATAAATTACTCAATGCGAATGTGTCAAGAACCCCGAGAGCACTCTTCAATCACCTATACCGAATCTAAACGCACACTGTCGATCAAAAATTTCGAACCACTGTACGTTGCGAAGGTTAGAAGTTTAAGGAACTTTTAATGAGTTCCCCACACTAAAGTAAATTGCTATTAATCCTTGCAACATTAATTGCAAATCCATAGAAAATTGCAAACTCAAAATTCCAAAAATCACAAACTTTTGGCTCACAGTGTACTCAAGGCTCAATTCACACTCTCAAAATTCCGAAAATTGCAAACTTTTGGCCGACAGTGTACTCAAGGCTCAATTCACACTCTCAAAATTCCCAAAATTGCAAACTTTTGGCCGACAGAGTGCCTAAGGCTCAACACAGAGTCTCAAAATTCCAAAAGTTGCAAACTTTTGGCCGACAGTATACTCAAGGCTCAATTCACACTCTCAAAATTCCAAAAGTTGCAAACTTTTGGCCGACAGTATACTCAAGGCTCAATTCACACTCTCAAAATTCCAAAAGTTGCAAACTTTTGGCCGACAGTATACTCAAGGCTCAATTCACACTCTCCAAATTCCCAAAATTGCAAACTTTTGGCCGACAGAGTGCCTAAGGCTCAACACAGACTCTCAAAATTCCAAAAGTTGCAAACTTTTGGCCGACAGTGTACTCAAGGCTCAATTCACACTCTCAAAATTCCCAAAATGGCAAACTTTTGGCCGTCAGAGTGCCTAAGGCTCAACACAGAGTCTCAAAATTCCAAAAGTTTCAAACTTTGGGCCGACAGTATACTCAAGGCTCAATTCACACTCTCAAAATTCCCAAAATGGCAAACTTTTGGCCGTCAGAGTGCCTAAGGCTCAACACAGAGTCTCAAAATTCCAAAAGTTTCAAACTTTGGGCCGACAGTATACTCAAGGCTCAATTCACACTCTCAAAATTCCCAAAATGGCAAACTTTTGGCCGTCAGAGTGCCTAAGGCTCAACACAGAGTCTCAAAATTCCAAAAGTTTCAAACTTTGGGCCGACAGTATACTCAAGGCTCAATTCACACTCTCAAAATTCCCAAAATGGCAAACTTTTGGCCGTCAGAGTGCCTAAGGCTCAACACAGAGTCTCAAAATTCCAAAAGTTTCAAACTTTGGGCCGACAGTATACTCAAGGCTCAATTCACACTCTCCAAATTCCCAAAATTGTAATTTTTTGGCTCACAATGTACTCAAGGCTCAATTCACACTCTCAAAATTCCAAAAATTGCAAACTTTTGGCTGACAGTGTACCTAGGGCTGAGTGTAAGCTCTCTAAATTTCAAAAATTGCAAACTTTTGGCTCACAGTGTACGTATGGCTCAATTTAATCCCTCAAAATCCCAAAAATCGGTAACTTTCGTCTTCCACTATCCCCAAACCCCAACAAAAACTCTCAAAATTCCAAATTAAAGTAACCCACGCAAAATCTTCTCTAAATCCCAAAATGCTCTCTAAAATAACCAAAATCTCCATTGTCCCTGGTCCCAAAAACACCCTTATTCGAAGTACACTAACTTCAACACGAAGCCTCGCGTCGAATCTCCTACTCGGTCCATTGACTCGCAACGAGTCATCACGTCCTCGCACATTGCTACACGCGTCCCACGAAATCGATCCAATTACACCCTGCTCTCCGGCTCTCCCTTTAATGCAAGAGAAACGAGCCGCGGAAAAATAGAGGGGATAAAGAATTCAGCGTCGCGATATCGCTAGGAAACGACGCCAGCTTGTATGCACGCCTCCTAACCGTGTGTACATTCCATTACAGGACGGCGTGTACATACGCTCCATCTTTCTGGAAGGCGCTGGCTGGGACAAGAGGAACACCGTCCTCGTCGAGCCTGCTCCTATGCAACTTGTTTGCAACATGCCGGTGATTCACTTCCGGCCAGCTGAACAGCTGAAAAAGAGGACCAGAGGTAACGACGTAAGATTGCTCAAGTCACCGTCAAACACATCCACTTCTTTTCATCTCTTTCTTCTTCCCCCTCTTCACAGGACTGTACAATTGCCCGTGCTACTACTATCCCCAAAGATGCGGAGGTCAAGGAAGACCGGCGTTCGTCGTGGCTGTTGACCTGAACGCAGGTCCGGCAGGATCAGATTTTTGGATCAAAAGAGGAACCGCCTTGCTACTTAGTCTCTCCACGTAGATTTCGTGTTAATCAATCGTTACAATTGTTAGAATTAGTACATTACCAATAAGTTCATATGACACATTCAAGCTTTCTCTCTCTCTCTCTCTCTCTCTCTTATAGTTAGTTTTGTTAGTGTTAAAAGATCGTCTCTATAAATAGTAGGATATATACAAAAATTGTTAAGAAAATTGTTACTTTACACGCGAACTTTCAGTACCTCGGTACCATAATGAACACATAGAACGCTAGACAAGGGACCAGCAGCCAATCAGCGAGTCTCTTAGGTTTGTCAAAGGAGGACGAAGCTGGATCTGCAGCTTTCACCATCAACGTCGACGTTCTATGACCACCGACACTCTTCAGAGTGTCTGAAATGGTTTTGTTCATCTTGTAAGCGTACTGTATCCAGTCTGCAGGTGTAACCGAGCCTAAATTCGTCGGAGGTTGAAGGTTGGACACTTTATCCTCAGCGTTAATCAGAGTCTTCATCAACTCCGCAGTCGTCATTTGATCCTCGTTCTCCAAATCATCCCTGAGATCGTTCACCGTGGAATTCAGCTGCGTTTGGAAGATCACCCACTCAGCTGCTGTCCTATTGTTATAAGTATCAGCAATCAAACTCTTCAAGGACGAGATTTCGTTCTTAATATCGGTGAAAGATCGATTGAACATCTCGTGAACCTTGTCGAAGTCTATCTTATCCGTGGCGTTCGCGGCGTTCAAGATATTCATCACGGTGTCGTTAATTTGCTTCTTGAAATCGATCCATTCGTCAGAAGGAATGACTGGCTTGATGAATTTCGTGTAATCGAACTTGGAACCGTTTCCTGCTCTCCCGAACGCAGCCTGGACGTTCAACGAGGCCTGATTGGATTTCGGTTTCCCTATTTCTGCCAGCCACTCTGCCTTCATCCCGGCAATCTCGTCCTTCAATTTTGCAAAATCGTTCATCGTGGAGTCCTTGAAGGCCGCCCAGGCCACAGGATCGATACTCGTCGGCTTCTTGCTCTTCATATCCTCGATTATTCTAGTCAGAGTGTCGTTGATGTCGTCCCGGAATTCCAGCCAATCGCTGGTCAAATTAGACAATTCTGTATTGCTGAACCTGCCTGTTGCAGAGGCGCCTAATTTGCCACGCTGAGGGACCGTGTTCTCTGTCAAACTGGACAAGGTAGCAAGTTCCAGAGGTGCTGGTGTGCTCTTGAAGGCAGAGAAGCGCTTCATCACGTCGTCTCTGTAAGCAGCCCAGGCTGCTGGATCACCTGGAGGCGGCATGTCGTTCTTGATCTTGTTCACAGCGTCGTTGACAGTCTTGATAATGTCTGTTTTGTAGTTCAACCAGTCGTCAGACGTGTCTGGCTTCCCTGCAGCTAATTCTGTGGGAGCAGTAGTGGACTTCTGACTGTCTGTTTTGCCTCTCAACGCGGAATATCGATTCGTGATGTCGATTCCAAAGATAGCCCACTGTGGATCGCCAGGAGAAGGCGTCCTGCTGCTTACGTCCACGAGAGTGTTGTTTATATTCGACAGGATGTCGACCTTGAAGTTCATCCAGTCGAACGCTGCTGATGCCGTGGAAACCTTGAGACTCATTGGCTCGGTTAGTTTGTTTTGGCTAGCTAGAGCTCGTTGCTCTTGCTCCTTCTTCATCGTGGACAATTTTGGAGCAAGATATGCCTTCATGGACGTGACTTGATCCTTCAGATCGGTGAACTGATCGACGATGTTCTGTTTAAATGTGGTCCATTTGGTTGCGCTTGCTGGGCCACCGCTCATCGTCGCTATGGAATCGTTCAGGGATTTCACGAGGTCGCCTTTGAAAGTGATCCAATCTTGGTAGACGTTTGTCGGTGCTTGCGATCTTAGAATGAAAGTGTCGTCTGGGGATAGTTGTTCGTTCAACGTGGAATTTTTCGGTGGTTTTGGAGGGTGTAGAGCTGATATCTGATTCTTGAGGGAGGAGAATGTGTCGTTTACGTAGTTCTTGAAGGCTAGCCAGTCGGTGTTCAACGTAGGTGACGATCTGGTGTTGTTGATGTAGGTCACGACGTCTCTGATTGTGTCGTTGATGTTGTTCTTCAAGGCTGTCCAATTGGCTGGCATGAACGAGGATTGTAACGTGGGATTGTATGGTTTTATGTCTCTCCAAGAGTCGAAGGAAGGCGAAGGGATGTCCTCGCAGGACATCATGGGGTTTGCGGGACTTACGGCGCGCATCACTTCGGCTTGAATTTGGGTCACGCCGTCGGAACAGTCGCAGATCAGTCTTGCGAGCGATGTTTTGCGTAACTCTGCGAGCTGGTCTGGAATGAGAAGAAAGTTGAGGTGGCAAGTGGTTGAGGAAAATTTGTGAATAAATATCGTGGAATATTTGTGTTGCGGATTTTCATTATTATTACTGTGTATTTAGAAATATGAAAGAGTTGAAATTTGGACGATCCTTTGATAAATGAAAGGAGAGTATTCTGAACTCAATTTTGGGTCAAAATGCCCCAATTTCCTCGCAAGTCCTTCACAAAGTTATTGCACCAACAACCATCACTATGCATTAAAAAGTATGAAAAATTTTAAATTCGAACGATCCTTTGATAAATAAAAAAATTGAAAAATAATAAATAGAATAAATGAAAAAGAGAGATTCTGAGATTCTAAACTTAATTTTAGATAAAAATGACCCCAATTTCCCTTCAGGAATCAACGATACAAGTCCCTCATACAGTCATTTAATCAACAAATCAGAAAATTACGTAAAAACGGGAGAATCCTTACCTTCACTGAACGAGTGAGCTTCCCCAGGCACCTCGTACCAAAATCGGTCCCCCCTCTGCAATCTCACGAACTGATCAGCGATCAGACACGAGAACGTGGGCCCAACAATAGCCCCAGCCTTAGGCAACTCCGCCAAAGCTCCAGTATACAAATCCACATCGTGCACAGACTCGTACAACGAAGAAATATCCTGCAGAGCCTGCTGATCCAAGTGTCCCGCCAAGTCAGAGAAGCTCTCAGCCAACCCTAATCCACAATACTCCCTCCATTTACTGTACCCAGGCAGTCCGTGATCCCTTCCACGCTGAATGTTCAAAGAAACCAAGTCCAATCCACAAGGAAGACTAACGTTCCCCACAGGATCCTCGAACAAATGATTCGTCAGCTGAGAAGTGACATGAGTAGACGTCATCTGGATCATGTTCCTCGTAGCAGTGGTCACCGAGCTCCTCACTCCATCCTCGGCGTACAAACTGTAAGGATTGAACAGCATCCTGTGCAACTCAACGTAAGAAGAAGTTCCCTGCTGATCGTCCGTCACTTTCATCAATCCAGGCAGCAGAGTGTGAGCAAATCTGAACGCAGCGGCTGCAAAATTGTTAGCTATGCTTGGATCGGTGCTCTGATCGTCTGGATCGCTGGTCCACTGTCTGTAGCCAGACTTGAGCGGTCTCAAACCGCGTGTAGCCGTCTCCTGTTCGCCCAAAACGATCGGTACGAACTCCTGATAAGTGATGTGCTGTAGCTGAGCTCCAACTATGCGTCTGGCCTCTTCGTACAGCGTCTGATCGTCCCAGGAAGGATTCACCTTGGCCAACCGATCGACGATCCTGTTGTGCTGTCTCGCCCAGAGCAGATGCATCGTCGTCAGATGGAGATTCTCGTTCGCTCTGGCGTCGCCAGCTGCGAAGCAGTATCTGCCTCTCAGACGTTCAGTTTCGCGATTACAGCCGTCGTTTCTGTTCGTGCTGGCTGGTAGCAGCGTTCGATTGTCCGGAGTGAGTTGCATCCTCAGTCGACCGCCGGAGAACTCGCGGAGATCTCTGGCGACGTTTTGGTCCGATCCGTAAACGGCTGATCCGTCGATGAACGCTGTCACCTGTGATTAACGAGGATAGTGTGATTTAATTGAATTGGTTGAATAGATTTTTCAGCGTGTTTAACAAGGTGATTGAACGAGAACAATGCGACCAGGCTGATTGTGTAAAATGGTTATTAGAGAGATAACGAATAACGCGTCGTTATGGGCGCTCGATTCATTGGCGTGAGCGGTAATGAAGTTAATTAGCGTGAACGTGGATCGAGCATTTTCGTTATTCTCCGTTCTACCGTTCTAAACGGGGACACTGTTACCGTTCGAGGATTTCTCTGTTTGGTTTGTGGGTAGGATTGATCTAACCATTTCGTTGATTATCACGATTGTCTACTTTATCGTGCAATTTTGGTAGTTTTTTGGTGGGGAAATTGGGAAGTTGGAGGAAACAGGGAGAGAAAATGAAATGAGAACGATGAGGAAGGATATTCAAATCTTTCACCGGGAAGATCAGATATTTTATCGAATGTAGGATGTGAGATAAGAGTGCTCGGGCCGTGTGACAGTCGGATCGAGCGAGGTGTGAATGAAAATGTGAATTTCTGAATGAAAATGCATGCGTGATAACAGCGATGTCGTGACCAATCGTGAAGTGAATAATGACCGTGTGTAAGTATGAAAGACAAGAGCTCAGTGAGAAAAGAAATAAACTGTACTCCTGTTAAAAAACAAAGACCACTTAAATAACATCCCTAGAGTAGTAACATTCATCTTATTTTGTCGTATGCGCCCTACGTTGTCGAGAATAATACTGTAGTATCGGGGCCTCCGTACTCAAATAGGAAACCGACCACGCAAAATAGAGAGGGAGTATTGGCTCAGTGCGCAAAGCCTCGGCGTGCTAAGCCGAAGGTCCCGGGTTCGATTCGCGGTCCCTCAAAATTTTTCCGTCAGTTCCTACAATATTTTTCCATGCCTTCTGATAATCATAAGACCGCAAAAATCATTATCAAGAAAAAGATAACGTTTAAGATGCATTACAGAGCGAAGGAGAAAAGATTGCATAGTTTCAGTGAAAGAAACACAAATAGACAGAAATATCGAACAACCTGAACGAAAAGTCCTCGCGTACCTGGTTCAATTGCTGCCTAGGACCAAGCTTGCACTGCGGCGCAGGAGCTGATCTAACGAAGTCCATGCAAGTCCTTCTAGCAACGTCGAACACAGGATCTCCGGAAGACACAGCGACAGGGAAACACTCCGGATGACTAGTGGTAGACGGTGGACAGCATGAGATAGAGGAGCCATTTATCCCCTGACTGATAGCAGTAGCGGTGATATCGTGATCCAAGAACTGTCCATAGACAGCCATCATCACCGTGAAGTGAGGATTGCTGCTTGGTGAAGGCTTGTGCACCTTCAAGCTCACTTCTCTGGCCGATGGTAGCTCTGCTCCCGAGAGAGCTCTGCGCGGAGCTTCGACACCGTCCGCGTAATTCGGCGGAAGAAGCCTTCTGAGAGGTGTCATGGCTGCTCCCCACTGCATAGGCCTGTTGCAACTTCCGTCGAACGTTCTGTATTTACTCGACGGACAAGCTGGAGCGGTGAATTGCTTGCAGACTCCCATAGGCTCCCATCCTCCGTCGAAGTAGCTTCCGAAAGCCGAAGGTGATCCGAGAGTGGCTCTTGAGTTCTCAATCTTCTTGGTGGCTGCTAATTCGGCTACAGCTGCTAGAGCAAGTACCCCGACGTTTGCACACGTGCTGACTGCGTAACGATGTCGGGATTCTGGAGATGGCGAGGGTAGTGGAGACATGAGAGCTGTGGCGTCTGCGAAGAGACGTTCGTTGATCGCTAGACGACCTGCTTCTAGAGCTTCTTTTATCTCGTCGTCGGTCAGTTTCGGTGTGACCGTGCTTTTGTCCGAGACGAAGATGGACTTGGAGGTCGAGACTATTGAGGGATTGCTGAAGAGAGTGTAGGAACCTGAGCCTGGAGCGAAGCCTAGTTTCAAGGGACTGCTGAGGTTCATGGTGGAACGAGAGGATGGCAATGTGAGATTGGGAGCCATGTCTACGAGGTCGTGGCTCACGGAGTAGCTCACTGTTACTATCAACGTCATCGTGAACACCGCTCTGGAACAGAGAATATAGGTTTTATGGTTGTTCGACGGTTGGAGGGGGAATTGAGTAGTTCGCTTTTGCAATTGGGGAAAATTCTGTCGTGGAGTTTCTTGAGGATTACGATATTTTTGTAGAGATTTGCGGAGACGCTGCAAGTGCTATTGCGTGCAATAATAGCGAAAGTTCACTTCCATATAACGGGTGTCTTTCGACTGACGATTTTATTTTTGTAATTGGCGCAAATTTTATCGTGGATTTTCTTTGAGACTACGATATTTTTATATAAATTTGCAGAGACGCTGCAAGTGCTATTGCGTGCAATAATAGCGAAAGTTCACTTCCATATAACGGGTGTCTTTCGACTGACGATTTTATTTTCATAATTGGGGAAAATTCTATCGTGGATTTTCTTAGAGTTTACAATATTTTAATGTAGATTTGCAGAGACGCTGAAAGTAGCGAAAGTTCACTTCCATGTAACGGGTGTCTCTCTCGACTCGCGACTAAAATGCAGCGAAAGGGTTAAAAATTTCCCTTTTCTTTTTAAACGACAAAAATAAATATTTGTATTTCCCTAGAGAATACTTCCAAAATTCCCAGAAATTCGGTGGTGCAAGGGATAGCGAGAAGTGTAAAATAGAATGCTGCAAAAAACGGTGAAATCTCTTGGAAAGTTTCCGAAGCATCGATTCCACTATCTTCGAGATTGGAACGATAAATCTTAGAAACAGCATGAACTGTCGTAACGTTAGGCAACCACACTATCACCGTACAATTACGTATGTAATCAAGGCCAGCGTCACGTAACTATAATCAGGCTGCGCTCAAGGCGCTACGTTCCACGCAATACTGTTAACGCCAGGTAAACGAATTATACGGTATTTTACTCTGCAAATGCGATAAGGGTGAGTCGTTGTTCTTAATACTTCTCCTACGATGTTAAACCAACTATTCGAGCGATGAAATTTCGTGGATTAACCCTTTAACGCCCGAAAGTACCAAAACCTATCAATTTCATTTCTTTCTCACTATTTCCTACGCGTGTAAAAATAAATTTCCCATTTATCTCCAATGCTGTAACTTGCACTTTCGCCGTAGAATAGAAAATACAGCGAATGTAGAAAGTGAAAGAAAATATAATTGAAGAAACTTGCACTTTTTCGAGAATCAAGATGTAAATGTCATAATGATCCTTTTCGTCGATATCTCGTCACAAGTGGTTTTTCACGTCGAAACGAAAACCGCGAGAGGACTCGTTGCACGGATCTCCCTCGCGCGATCGTTTCGATACGCCTAAGAGATTTCTTAACTTCTTCGATTACTCAGGCGAGTTGCATCAGGCGAGAAATGGTGAAATTGAAAACGTCTAGGTAATTGAAATTCGAGTAGCAATCAGGAGATAAAGGAACATCAAGGTGGAGGACGTCGAATCACTTAGACACTGTCTCCAATAACAAAATTGAGAGATAATGGAATGAAAAACAAGGACGAACTTCTGATATGTAATAAATTCGTATTACAACTTTACATGGAAATTTCATTCGAAAAGAAAGATTCACTGAGGTTAATCTTAAGACTGAAGGTAAGTTACGATCGCACTGAAGAAGACTAAAATATTTAAAATCGTATATTACCAAAGAATCTTCAATTTTTCATTAATTTTCAATAAAATAAGTTGCAACACTAGAACTTCGATTCGACGAAATTTGGCGAAAGTCCGCTTGAAAGTAATATCATATCACCCAACTCGATACATGATAAGTCACACTGAAACGGAAGAACTGATATCACGATTGTACCAAATTAAGTCCGAGTTATTAGCAATAAAAAGAAGAAAACAGAAGAGAGAGAGAAAATATTCACAAGAATCGCGATAATTCGACTACGAAGAGGCAGAACGGACGACAAAGACGATGGAAATTTGACTCACACGAGGATCGTGTACGCGATACATCTAAGCCGCATCCGCTGTCTCCTCTGATGGGAATAAAACGGCAACGCGTCGTGACCGTAGTACACCCTGGCTGGTTTGCCGGCAGCCAACGAGGTCGTCTCCGAGGAAGGCATTCTTGTTAGTTGCACGCGTTACGTACCACGACCGCACTGAAACGATCGGCCGGCCGGCCGCTCGGTGGTCGAGGTGAGCGATGATTTTACGTAAGTATCCGCTTACGGTGGGGACTGGATGCACAATCATTTTTTCTCCACGGAAAGACGATGGAAATGTGTGTCGGTGTGTATGCCTGGTGAACTCGAAGGCAACACTCCTTTGGAAATATTTCTGTGATAGCTGAGGATGCTGTTCTTCGACGTTTACGATCAGAGAACTCACTTGGAACATTGGATGTGGTGTTGATATTGTTGGTGATTATTTTGGCGTTCTTGAGTTTCTTTGAGAATTGAGTTCACTTCTTTGGCACTGAGAATTGAGGACTGAGTTGACTTCTTTGTCACTGAGAATTGAGGACTGAGTTGACTTCTTGGTCACTGAGAAAATTAGGAATTAAGTTGACTTCTTTGGCACTGAGAATTGAGGACAGAGTTGGCTTCTTTGTCACTGAGAATTGAGGACTGAGTTGACTTCTTTGTCACTGAGAATTGAGGAATGAGTTGACTTCTTTGGCACTGAGAAAATTAGGAATTAAGTTGACTTCTTTGGCACTGAGAATTGAGGACAGAGTTGGCTTCTTTGTCACTCAGAATTAAGGACTGAGTTGACTTCTTTGTCACTGAAAATTGAGGACTGCGTTGACTTCTTTGTCACTGAGAATTGAGGACTGAGTTGACTTCTTTGGCACTGAGAAACTTAGGAATTAAGTTGACTTCTTTGTCACTGAGAATTGAGGACTGAGTTGACTTCTTTGTCACTGAGAATTAGGAATTAAGTTAACTTCTTTGGCACTGAGAAACTTAGGAATTAAGTTGACTTCTTTGGCACTGAGAATTGGGGACTGTGTTGACTTCTTTGTCACTGAAAATTAGAAGTTGAGTTAACTTCTTTGGCACTGAGAAAATTAGGAATAAACTTGACTTCTGTGACCTTTCAGAATTAGGGACTGAGTTGCCTTCTTTGTCACTGAAAATTAAAAATTAAGTTGACTTCCTAATTTTTAAGAATTAAGAATTAAGCTGACTCCTTTGCCTTTCTTTGTCTCTGAGAATTAAGAATAAAATAGACTACCTTTGAAACCTTCGCAGAGAATTAATTTTGAAGAAAACTGTCCAGTTGAAGAGAATTATTCTCGAGGAAATTACTTTTGAAAAATTGAATCTCTATGGCATAATATTATAAAGAAGAATTAATGATCGCCATAGTGAAATGTTGACGATTAGTGAAAAACCAATTTTTGATAAAGAAATTACACAGACGAAGAAGATATTTCTTTCTGAAAAAATGAAAATTGAGTTACGGAGGAATCGATGGTAATTTTAGAAACTGTTAACCATCATCGGGTAGAAAGATAATTTTATCCTGACTTAATTAACATTTGCCTTTCTACGTTTTGTTTTCACAGGCAGCCACACTTGCATCACCAGCACAACCTAGCCCTCCTTCTCTCGTAATTATATAAACACGTTTAATTGCAGACGCAAATTCTTAATGCGCTCGATCAACATCGGATCGACACCGTCCAGGTGTAGATAGGATCTCAAGACACGAGCAATGCGTCAACTGTACGATGACAGACACCGTTTAATCATATATAAAAAACTTTCTAAACAGACAACAAATAACACCTTGTAATAAATAAAAAAATTATTTACGCAGCAGACTTTTCAATCTCGTTTAATATTTTTTTACAATTTTTTCTTCGATGAAAACTACAGTACTTTTCTACATTTCAACGTTTGCAATTAATCATTTGATCTGCATTCAATATTTCATCAATTTCATACTAAATAGGTATATATATATAAACAGCTATTTAAACAGACAACAAATGATACATAGTAATAAATAAAAAATTATTCATGCAGCAGACTTTTCAATCTCGTTTAAGATTTTTCTACAATCCTTTTTTTCCATAAAAACTTCAATTTTTATAATTATTCATTTCATATTTTTAAAAAATTATATATCATGTATTAGAAAAATTTCATATTTTCCTATATTTTATTTCACTAAAAATAAAACAGTTTTTCTTCTTCTTAAAGGTACAACCACATAAGTGCTCGAACAAAAAGTGTTCTTAAATCAAATTAAACCTTACATTTGCTATTAATGTTTCAAAAAGAAAATACATTTTGACGAAGTCTCAACTACCCCATATTTACCGTCGAACCAACGCAACACCTTAGAACCATAACTTTCATTCAGCGAAACTAAGTTCACCGAGAAAATGAACCCTTTGCACGCCAAATTTTTCTTCATTTTCTTTCCAATAACTCCGCATTATTTTAAGTGTTTTCTTAAAATGTACTCACACTTTCTTTTTTACAAAAAAGAGTCACATACACTACCGGCCAAATGTTTGGAATCACTGTGGCATTGCAAGTTGCAGAAGAATTCCCCAAAAAGGTTAGCATTTATAATAATTTTCCAACGAAGTTTTTATCATTCGAATCAATGAGGTAAAGTGCTATTGATCTCCACAATATCAATTTCAAATTAATAAGGAATTAGTGGCAGATTCAATATAAATATAAATTGGCAGGTGATTCCAAACTTTCGGCCGGTAGTGTGATGTTACTTATCTAAGTACAAAAGAAATATTGCAAAATATAACACATATTTAAACAGGCAATTTAAATATGTCGAGTGTGACTCGACATAGGAGTACACCTGTGACTAAAATCGACGTCGAGTCACACTCGACGAAGAAGAGTGCAAAGGGTTAAACAATATCATCCCCTAACGAAACGCCCTGGAAACAATACAGAGGAACGATCGACTTACATCAAAGTGGCGCAGATACAGCACTGGAACTGCCTGATCCTCGTCTTCCTGGTCCTCAACAGGCTCGCGAACTCCACATAGTCTGGTGAATCCAAGGGCCTCGTGAGCGAGGTCCTCTCGTTCACGCGTCTACCCGCGTGCATGATGCACGTTCGACCAACCAAGCCTCACTGGCGAAGAAAGCGGGAGGAAAATGATCGTCGAGGCGTGCCGAAGATCTACTGGCGAACGAGTGAACTCGCCTGGACGACGTCGACGCTTCAGACGAGCTCGTTTTACCGCGGAGGAACCGACGCGAGTCGAACGGAACTTCCGGTCCTCGTTTGACGCACGGTTTGTATGTCAACGCATCGCCGAGGTGAGGCTGGTTAACATCTACACGCTGTACTGGAGAATGTTACCTTTTTTGAGGAATTGCTGGGGACCATTTTTTTGTGGTATTAATTTTTGTGGTTTTTGGTTGCTGTTTGGGAACATGTTTTGTTCAGAGTGTTCTTTGGGTTAGTGAGCAATTTTATTTCAGAGGTTTCTGAGGAAGGAGTAATCTTTATTCGTAGAAGTATAAATAGTTTACAATTATTTGAGAAAATAAAGAATGTAATTTTCTTGAAAAATTTATGGAGTCTGTGAATAAAGGGGAAAATTTTATTAGTGGTGGAGTATGTTTAGGGAAATTAAACACAGAGTTACCTTTGTGACAGAATTATTTAAAAAAATTAAAGAATATAATTCTTTTGAGAAATCTATCATGTTTACGAATAAAGAGAAAAATTTTACGTGGTAATGTGTATTTAGGGAAA